TTTCTTCCAGGTAAAACCAAAGTAATAATTCCAGGGCCTTCTGGTTGGGCTGCTTGCTGCTGTGTGACATTTCAGGCTTATGGGACTGGATATAGAGGGTGCCAGCTTACATCTATGCCTAAGGGTATCCCAAAAGGGCTGCATGTCCTCTGGCTCAGGCTGAAGTAGATGCAAGGCACGGTGGCTTTCTGCCAAGCAGTTGTTTGCCTGCAGCTGGGCGATGCCCTCTTCTTCCTTCACGAGGCATGTTAGAACTAACACATTTGATTTCAGTTTTTCTCAGAGTTTGTAATGTTACCCAAATAAATTTCAAGCACTGCCATTTTGTAAGTTTTCAACTTAAGACTTCTAAAAACCTTTGGGCTGAATTGTATTTTACTCTCAAATTTCATTACAACTGCTTAAACAATGAGACTCCAAGAGCAAATATATATTAAGTAGTCTGTATCAGCCATCCTGGCTGGTGTCAGTGGGAAAGTACATTTCTTAGATACAAAAAATATGTATTTTTTGAAAGGGTTTTTATTCTGTACTCCATGTTGAGGAGGTTTTAGCCTTAAAGACAGCCTAAAAATAATTTAAAATGAATTAAATAAATATATAAACCTGGGTTCCACAGGTTACAAAAGAAACATTTAAGCAACCCAATTTCTTTCTAATCTTCAAAACATAGGAAACCACAGATAGAGTCAGCAGGGTTTTACTGCATGTATCTAGGCAAATCATTTTGAGGAGGGGGAAATTTTGTGTTAGGCAAATTGTGAGGAAGGCAGTGCTTCACCTTCCTTAGGATGCAATTATATCCCTAGAATTCTTTCTCCCTGAAAGAGATTCCAGACCTAAATTTAACCTGCCAGTCCCAAACAAGTGCCTGGGACCATATGGGGCCTGTTACAGCAGAAAAGCAACTAGCAAAGAATTTTAATTCCTCCCTGAGAGGGCCACGGCAAACCTGTCCTCTTCCATTAACTTCAAGAAGGAAGGTATGCATACATTTCTTTAAGCTTGATAAAGTATTTGATGGTGACTTCATTATAACTGTTTGCAAAAAAATATGACTTTCTCAGGAAGAGAAGCTCTAGAAAGTCTCCAAGGGAAAACAAATTTCTGTTGACCGCTTTCCTTCCATCTTGTGCTTCTCTTGGAAACAGTCAGAGATCCAAATGGACTTGCCTTGGTTCTCCACCTTCTCCAATCAGGTGCATCTAAGTTTACCCAGACTAATTCCTTTCTCAGGGTAAGTATCCGGTAGTGACAGCAAGGCCAAGGGTTTCTTAATGCTCTTCATTGAGAAAGTCTGAATTTTCATGATATTTGGGCAGAGAATGGGTGGGCAAAGGAAAACTGCTGCAGCCTCAGATGCTCCAGAATTTGTCTGAGGCACGTAAAGCCTTTCCTATTCATAACCTGCTGCCATCTGTGACCTTTGCTGCTGGCCCCTTCTGCTTCGATTTGCCAGTTGTCTGTCCTTCTCTGTGGCTCCATCAGCTTTTCCTCTTCCATGCCTACATCAGTATCTACCACTCTCCTTCCTCAATCATCTTCAGCTTATGCATCTTTTCCAGCTCAGATCCACTGGTAAAGAGTCATCAGCCTGTCATGACATCAGATCCTGGTGCCAACACCAGTTGCTGCTGTCCTGACTGGGTAGTTTCTTTACAAGGAAAGGGTGGTCTGCACCAATGAGTCCCAGTGGTGTGCAGCAAAGAGTTTAATACTGCCTGTAAGCCAGTCCTCTGTAAATGGCTTGACTCTTCATTAAATAATTTTGTACGTATGTAATATGTAGCTATTTATGTTTACAAAAGCCAGTTTAGTGCACAAACAAGGGACAAAAAGTTTAGGCTCAAAACTTCCACTGCCCTGTCAAAATTATACAGGAGCAACACCACGTTTTCCTTTTTTCTGTTACTTATATATCTCAGTTCATCTTTTTTAAAAGTGCCACAATAAGCTTTTGTCTCTAGTCTCACAGGTCACTAAGCAGGGAGCAACAACACAGGTCATGAATATTACAAAAGCCCTGAATTAGAAACAGTGTTCAGCTGAAGAGGTGGCTTTTTGCAAAATGGTAGCAATTAAGGGCTTCTTCAGCAACTCCAAAGCATCTGGAATTTGAATCCTTAGCTCAAGTAGCTTGTCCAGCAGTTATGCTGCCTACTTTACAAAGACTGATTTTTTATCACCTTCTGACCACTTCCAACAGGAAGGGAGACTCTGAAGCTGTAAACACAGCAGGGCCAAACAAAATTCTAACTATCTGTGGCACTGGAAGTCTTCCTATTAAGCTGCAGCAGGCAGATGATATCTGGCATACAAAACCACAACATCAAGACAAGGGTTTGTACAAGGAAGCTAACTGCTAGAGGGTAAAGATTACTAATGCGTCTTTACAGCATGTTTTGGAAATGTGCAATAGTTGCCTCCTTTGGGAAGGACGTTATTATACAGATAAAACTTGTACTGCAGAACTCTTTAATATCTACTGATGTACATATCCTCTTAAATCATCCACTTGCTTCTTGGGATTTAACAAAAATGGATTCTCTGTGCCTTTTGCTGCCAATAGAACAATGGCAGGATATATGCTCACCTGTGGGAACACTGTACAATTAAAAAAACAACCCTTCACAATGCTGCTTCATCGGATTTACCATGAGTCCTTTAAAATGAATCATTGTTTTTGTTCTGTGAAATACCAGGTGAATTAACATTAATTTAACATTAAAGCTGCTGACATTCAGAACATTTACTTGAAAATACATTTCATACGACGTGAGAGGAATTAACTTTGGACCTTCCGGCAATCCAGTCTGTGTACAAAGCTTCTCCCTGCAGTTGCTAGAACCATTCCAGTATAAATTTAAACTGTTTTTGTTCTAGTTTTAAATACTTTCACAGGATATAACTTAGATAGATATATTTCAGCTCAGCATCTGAAGTGGGATGGGATGCCAATCCACCTTTTAGGCTGACCTATAATTATTATACTTCTTTTCAGGTGGATATCAAATATGGCCTAGCCATCTATGGCATACCTCAACCTGAAAATCTAGGCCTGCGTCTCTGATGTTTTAAAATGTAGGCCTTGCTTCGCATAAGTGAACTTCAGTTGCCTTGTTTATGTTAATAAAGCAATAGAGCTTCAGTTACAATCTTCCTGGCCATCTCTCCCAGTCTTCCTGCCAGAGGGTTCCCAAGAGAGATGGATAAAAGGAGTACACACACACACATGCTGCTGCTGCTGCTGCGTTCCCTCCCTTGGCCAACCTACACAGGTACCTTCATGCCTGAGGTTGTCATGAGCCTCTGCTTGCAGGAATGTGCTATCACTTTGGCACCTTCAAGCAGGGAAGGGACCTCAGCAGGCCAGGCAGAGATACTCATTATTATTAGTTCTTTTTAAATTATTATTATTAATATCTGTGTAAGTAATCAATATACTTCCTATGTTATGATTGTAACATAATGTAGAATGCTGTATGCATGTGCTATGCTTTGAATCATGTAATCTACGTAAGTTTGCCATTTTCTTTATGCTGTTGTTCAGACCTTTTGAGGTAACCTCAGCTGCCTTCCATTCCAGCTGATTGGGGGTTCCCTTGTATGCTATCCACACTGCATGCTGTAAGCTGCTACAACCTTTGAAACTTAGCTTGTGTTTGATGTGTTGCACAACAATAAACTATTTTGATCGTCACAGAATGTTAAACCGTTTGGCCAAGTCTACTCTGTCATTGTAGGGCATTAAACTGTTTTGATAGTTGCCAGGACTAAACTGTTTCAGTGTCTAGTGAATGCAACTGCTGGGCTGTATCACTGAACTACACCCAGTCTGTAGCTGGAAAACCTGGAGGTGGGATATCCTTTCCTGGGAATCAAAAGAACTGCCTCACAGGGCTGGAGGTTATACACCATCCCACTTTCCTTCTTTACTTCCACCTCAGGGGCTAGTCAAATTGTCCCAATGAGGTGCTACATGGTGGCCATGAGCACAGCCAAAGTGGGGGGGAAAGGTTCTCCTCTCAGATGTAGCTGCTTCCACTATAAGCAATTTAACATACAATTTGCACATGAATAGAAAAAGATACCAATGAGAAGCATTGATTTAAAAAAAGCCTGAAACACATTTGATTAGTTTTCCAGTCTCTTAGTTGATAGTGATTATGGTGAAATCATCCTGCAACCTGAATCTACCCAATGGTCAGTAGTCAGGCAGTCAAACAAATCAAATGAAACAGATCACCAGCTCATTTAACTTATTTTTCATACTTACTGTCAATGGCATATTCATAACTGGTGGGGGAGCTTCAGGATGGGAAGGTATCATTTTTGGGGTAGGAGGCCAGGAGGTAACGGGTGTTTTTGATCATTTTCCTACTCCTACAAGGAGGCTGCCTGGGGCAAAAAGTCCCCAGATAAAAAGTATTATCCAAGCCGATGGCCTCCAGATTTCTTGGACCACTGCATCCAGCATTCCTGAACATGGATCATGCTGACTGGTGCTAAGGGCATCAGGTTAGGGTAGGCTGAGCTACGGCAATGTAACCGTGCAGGTGTCTAATGAGCATTCATTCACTGACTAAATCTGGCTCTTAAGTTTCGCACTTGCATAATGCCCTTCCTTGAAATGCAAAACAATTTTGCCCTGAGAAACAGGCTCTCTTAAAATTTATCCAAAAACACTGTGTTACCTTCAGAGCTAGTCTTCTAAAATAGCTAAATTGGTTTTGGCTATGGAAAATAGGTTATACAGTAAATATATTCTATTATACTCTGAGTTCCTTTAGGTAACTGTAATTTACATCCACTTTTTCCAGCAGTATTCAAAATCACTTTCAATCCAAATTCATTCTGGTTATTAAGCATTATTGCACTGAGCTCCATTTGAAAAGAGAGGGAACAATCTACTTCTGTTTTTTCCTTTTGCAAACAAAACCAAACAGAGTAATCCAAAGAACCCAGGGTGCACAGTGGGGTGGGGGGTGGGGATTCCTTACGAGCTCTCGCAGAATTTTCTGAGAGTGCTTGGCTTTTCCTGATTGCGCCTCTGCCGAAACCAGCGCTGAATACTGCGCACATCCCAGTCCAGTTGCTTCGACAGCCCTTCCAGCCTCTTCTCATCTGGATGCTACCAAATTTGAAAGAAAGGATGGTCAAGAGGGTTGCTCCTATGCTGATACTTCACACGACATATTAGCATTAGATCCTACTACCAGATCAAGTTACAGACATGTATAAAGTTCCAGCTTAGCTATCAAGTCTTCTGAATGGCCTTAGACAAATTAAGTAACAGCAAGACTCTATTTTCAGTTTGTAATTAAAGAAAGACATTTTAATCTTTGCAAATCTAACCCTGAAGAGTACTTGGATACAGATCCCATTGAAATCTGTCAGGTAAATCACAAATTAGGCTACAGTCCTGTGCATACTGTACAGCTTACTTCCAAGTAGACACACACAGGATTACACTGTAAAAGTGCCAGTATAAAGGCAGCCATGACAAACAGCTTCTAAGTTTGCCAACTTTTTAATACAGACATAAAATAAACTCTCTTGAATCCAAAATATATACTCATAAATATCCTTTTCCTATCTTATAATTTCATTAACAAATAATACAAGAAGAAGACATAACTGACACCATACATGAAATAATCTATCAACAGTGAGCTGGGCATAGCAATGCAGATACACAAATCCGTTGGCTAAATTTCTTCTAGAGAGTCTACTACTTAGGGAATATTAATTAGGTCTTCCAGACAGTCAGATGTGATTGGGAAAGTTTCAAACCCCAATCACTCTTGTTGACTAAAAAAAGCTAAGGTTGACAGCACATGACCCTTAGTTATTTGGATAATTTTGGTACAGTGATATCTCAAAACACTCCTTTCCCAGTTTTCAACTGGTGGTTTGCATGCAGGTTTTCAAACTGATGCAATTTCCATTCTTGCTGCAGTCCAGAAGAATGTTAGCGTATCCTTACGCAGTTGATCCTTGTTGTCTCCTAAAGAGGGGCAGTAGTCTCTGCCACTTTACCTATGTCCCGATCTGTAAATTTTCTTGCCAGATCTCTGTGTGACTTTGCTAGCCCAGCACATATTTTAAAGTCCCCCTTTGAGCACAGCCTTTCCAGTACTGCTCCTCTTATAAATGTGGCTGATTTTTATTGGCCACCTGTACATTATTTTAATTGCATTTTCCCTCACTTATGAAATCATTTTGTAAAGGCACACTGAATTCCACTGATCACCTTGAGTTGTAATATTTAAACCATAGTCGCATACCAGTTTTACATCATTAGCATTTTCCATTGGTATTTCTACAGAGATTTTTTATATTTGTGAGACCAAACCTTTTGCATTCAGATTAATTTCTGTCAGAATGAGTTTGAAGTTGGTTTCAGGTCATACCACCTATGCTTCAGGAATCAAAGTAATATGGCCATTTGGAACCAGTTAGTTTTAATTTCCCACAATTCAGGCCACTTGGAACCAAGTAATTTTACATTCTTAAAACTGTCCTTTCAACTGAGGTTCCTTTATTGGTTCCTCAACATTAAACAGATCTTACACTGTATGCAAGTGCTATGCCTCTTGGTCCTGAAAGAGTGGAAGGTTATCAGTATTAAAATAGAAGGGAAGACATCAGGGATGAAGGATACGATATTAATTTCCAACCACATGTTTCTATGCTTTCAGTGTAGCAGTCAAAGGTGGATTACCTAGAGGTAAACCTCTATTAATATCTTTTATTAATGGCACATTTCTTACTTACTCTTTCTTATTCAGAGATACTTCCAAATGAATCCAAAATTTGTTGGCATCAATAGCCATAATATGGAGCATTTGTTTGATCTGAAATGCTTCAAAGTTGGCTGTGAGCTGAAAATGGATATGATAATCATCCCTGCTGATGTACCTTAAGTACAGAGCATGATTATTAAGCTAAGGGTTTTTTTTCCACCATGTGTAAAGCTAGCAAGTATTTTTTGCCTCCCTCCCCCATCCCACAAGTTGCCTGAAGTAGTGATTGGAAACATTTGGAACAGAAAAGTTAATTTTGTAAGATTGCTACTGTATTGCTGCAATCTTACAAAGCAGGATATCCTTAAATGCCTCCAACTTTTTAATTGGTTTCAATTTATTTTCTATTGATAATAGGACATTGTTCAATTTAATTACTTTCTGTAGGTCTTTGGTATCTGGATTCCCGACTTTTTAATTTTATCAGGACACGTAGGTATACTGGTAGCTAGTTCTATCACACATCTCGTGGTTATGCTTCTATTCAAATAAAGAATTTTAGATTTACTTTCATTAATTTTTAACCTTGCAACTTGACCAATAATATCAAAGTTTGCACCAAGTTAATAGTTGGGTCTGGGATTGTCAGGGTTATGTCATCCATAAAAAAAGCTTTTTTAAATAATTTAACTATTAATTGATATTCCCTATGTTTGGATCTTACTTGATTATATTTGCTAGGGATTCACTTGAGAATGCAAATAGCAGTGGAGATAAAATGCATCCTTGTTTAGTTCCTGTGAATGAACTGACTATATACCCTTAGTTTGACTCATAGCTCTATTATGGAGATAAATCTTGCTAAGTTGCATATAAATCTCTCTCCGAGTTTCAAAAATTAACTTATCCTCTGATGTATCACCATTCCTTGTGAAAAGCTTTAATTGCATCCAGGGAAGCAATCACATGTGTTTTGCTTTTTGTTTTGGAGCAGTGGTGTATTATATAAACTCCCAAAAGAGTCTGAAATAGATTTATTTTTAATACAACTGAATTGATTTTTTATATTCAGAAGGGTTATTTCATCCAAACTTTCAGCTAAGATACTAGTAAACAGTATATAATATTAATTTAGAAGGATAATATGAGTATAAAAATCTGTTTCCTCTGTATTCTTCCTGAGTTTGGGGAGAAGTATTTCCCTAGAGTTTAGCCAGGTTTGCAGCTTTGTGGTCTTTCACAATATCATTAAACTAAGTAAATGTTTACTTTACTTGTTTTTTGGCGCCAGGCGAAGACCTTTTTATTCAAGTGGCATTTTAACTGTTAATACTATTGGATTTTATCTGGCCAGGGCAGCTTATTTTATACTGTATTTTTGTATTTTTAATTTAATGTTTATATTTTTGATTTATATTATAATTATTTTAACTTATTGTTGTAAGCCTCCCGGAGGCTTTGGCGAATGGGGCGGCATAAAAATGTTTTAATAAATAAATAAATAAATAGATAAGGCATGCTTCTGCCCTGAGCCAGACCCTTCCCTCCTTTTCCTCCAAAACAGAAGACAATCCTTTACAATGCAGATCTTTATTGAGATGTCACAGCTAACAAGGCAATGTAACTCTAAGTAGCCTTCCATCAAGCTGAAAGATAAGGCTCTGCTCAATGTAAAGAGATGAACTGCAAAGCCTTACCCATTTCCTCTGGTTCAGTAAGGCTGTCACTCCACCTTCAGGGTGGCTCCTGCTGGTACAGAGCCAGGCAGGAAGATCTATGCAAATCCTTTAACTGGGTAGCTCCTCTTTCCTGACACCTCATCATGAGATTAAGGATAGGTTCAGGCACGTTCTCCTGCTCTTCCCCTGAACCACCCCCCCCAAACAGACCTGCTCTCACAGTCAGCCTGGAAAACTGCAGGAAGTGGCCTTGATGGAGCTTCAAAGATTTCTGTCCCCTTTTGATCCTACCCCCTCCATTGCTCTCTCCTCCTCCTCCTCCTCCTCATCTGACGACATATGACCCTGAAAAGTTAGCAAAGAGTGAGTGCCTGGATCACCCACTACAATTTTGTAGAAGTTTGTTTCTAAAGCCATTTGTACACTGGGCTTTGTGATATGAGCTTAATTTGGTTAGATTCCCCTTCTCCAAAAAGGATGTTATACACAAAAATCTGGATAAATCAGATGTGTATATGTTTTGGAAAAAAACCACTGTAATTTGGTCACATTGCTTTGAGATTGCATGTTTTCCCCTATTGTCTGTTTTTTAAATGATTTTTTCATGCATTTTAAAATTTGATATGAGTTCAGTGTTTTTATCTCCAAACTCACCATGCTTTTGCTTAATAGACTAGGTTGATTGCAATTTTGTTTGTTCCCCGTGCTTTTAAGTTAGGTACACTTCTGGTCTAATCTGATCAAAATAACTTTATTTCCTTACTAAATATTTGGAGTATTGTATTTATGGAAGTCATATGGTACTTTTCTTAACTTATTCCTAGATTTCTGATGCAAGAGTAGAGAGGAATATGCTTTCCAGGAAAACAATTTATATTGGAAGTGCACTGCAGTCAGCACAACTGACACTGGGGCATGAACAGTCACTGTGAATGACACAAAGTTAGCCGCTTTCAGCACTACTGCCCACTTTCAGCTCCACTGTCCACCTCATTCTTAACTGAATAAAAATGTAGTCTTTTCCATAGGGTGCTGTCGTGCCTGACGGCTCGACAGAGACGTCGACTCGCAAGAAAGAGTCAAACATTCACAGAGAGAATCAGGCATTGGAACAAGGGGACTTATACTTGGGGCCCAGTGCCCAAACGGTCCCTCTGCAGCCTGACTCTGGGACTGCTGAGCAAATAGCCCCCCCACAGCATGACTCTTCGGCTTCTGAGCAACTAGCCTCCCCACAGCCTGACTATGAGGCTTCCGAACGAGTAGCTTCTCCTCATCCTGACTCTAAGGTGCTTGAACAAATTGCCCCTCCCCCCGCCCCCACCTCCTGACTCTGAAGCTGCTGGGCAGAGTTCAGGAGAACAAGAAGACGTAACAGTAAATCTGGCACACGCCCAACTTAGGCAGAGTTTAAGGCATTTAGATCAATTGCGTCTGGACCGATTGCAACGACAAGACAGAGGTTTGTCCCACCCACGAATGAAAAGATGTGACAGGAAAATCTAATCCCACATGAACTTCTCAGATAGTTCAGAAAGGAGGGTGCAACTGTGTTGCAAGAAGTTCTCTGCTAAATCTTATCTGTTGCATGCTAAATCTTGTAGAAAGTAGCAATAAAAGTCTTGAGTTTTATGGCTGGCTGCCATATGAGTTGATTGGAGACTTGAGTTACAGCTTCAGGACAGGTGTATTAGTTAACATGTGTC